TGTGCTAGAAAAAAAGCATAAAAGAACAACTGGCCAAACTTGGGTGAGACCTGAATTTCAGGTGACAGAAACAAATCCATGTTAATTTCCTGGTTTATGTGGCTGTGCTGCAGATATGCAGGAGATGTCCCTGCTTGTAGGAAATATACACTGAAATATTTGGGGGTCATGGAGATATCAAGTTGGCAACTCACTCTCAAATGGTTCAAGGCGAAAAATGGCTGTGTACTATAACCACAACTTTTCTGTAAGTGTGAGATAGTTTCTTTTTTTTTTAATTATGTATCTGGAGGAAAAAAAACCTTATCCTGGTTTTCAAGCACATATGATCGTTGAAGTTAGCAAGAGTGATAACATCCCTTGGAATTAATCTTTCCCAGCAGATACTTGGAGAAGCACTTATATAAGCAGTCATAGTCAACCCCTTAATATATCGGAAGGTTCCACGGAGAGGAGAGCCTTCTAAGTGTGGGGACAAACTGTTCTTCTTTTCTCTACCCACAAGCTTAGATAAAAAGGAGAAGGAAAAAAAGGAACTTTGAATTTATCTCCAAAAACATTTAGAATCAAGTTCATTGCATTATGGTAGAAACAGGAATCAGCCGGATAAAATAAAAGTACAATTAGTGCTTTCATGCTGTCCTTTAATCTTATTTCTACCTAGCTCTTCACGAAGAAGTCCTAAATATTTAGTATAAACATTGTAGATATCACTAAAATTAAATTGATGTTTCAAGAAGTTAAGGACCTTGTTGGTCACACCAGGACTGGAAGTCATGTTTGGCTCCCCATGACTGTCTAAACAGATGCACAAGCTCTACCCATCACACTAGAGGAGTTTTTTCTCTAAGAACAGAGAAGAGAAACAATATCCTGTTCTCCGAGAAATAGAATGCTCTGAGACAGACATAAACAGGGCAGAATTCGAATAAGAATCTACTTGCTACTCTATTTTAAAGTCACATCTTTCCATCTTTTCCAAAAATATCCCCCAAAATGTAGAACTGATAATTGAATGAATAATCTTGTCAGATATTATTCCTAATGCACTGATGTATATTCTCTTAATGCCTCTCTGCTCACTGTATTAGCAGCTTCATTAACCCCAGCTCCCAACCCACCATTCTGTAAGTGGGAACAGTAAATTGCCGATGGCCTAACAACATCCATTCAGTATCTATATGGCTTCTCCCATAAAGTTCAACACGTTGCCTGAACTATGAAAACAATCTTCTTGCTTTTCCTTCAGTCTTCCAAATGTAATACTTGTGAGTTTAACCAAGAAGTTAGGAAAGACAGTTGGAACCAGAAAACAAAACAGTATCAATTACTAATATTTCCCATTCTCTGCTGAGTCTTGTCTTATCTGAGGCTTGCAAAGTTATTTAATCTTTTCCATCATCTCAGGGAAAAGAAAGCCTGGAAAATCCTGGTCACTTGACAATAACTATCAATGGGATTTTCCATAACTATCTGGATGCAAAATAAAAATCTTAAGAAGTTGATCCAATTCTAAAACTTCTCAACTTACTAATAAATATGAAGAGACATCCCATCCATATTTTGTTCAAATAACATCTGGTTTCTTGGCCAGACTGCTAATACCTGAAAACGTTTCTGAGTTCATTCCAACAAATCTACATTTAAAGAGCTTAAAAATGTATTTATACACTAAACATTCTTTTCTACATCTGACTTAGGGCCACAGATGGGACTGGGAGATGGCACCTTGCCAAGAAATTGGAAAGAAAGGGAATAAAAATGCCTTCTAAAAGCTCAGCTGTGAAATCAACACTTGATGGATCAGGGCAAGGAAATGAGAAATGACCACATGGGGACAAAAAAGCTTCTAAACCAGCATAATTTGGCTGTAGCCCCACTAAATATACAATACACAAATCTAAAGACTACATTAATCTATCATGGAGTCCCAGAGACTATATTAATCTATCATGGAGTTATATTAAAAGAAAGGTTGTTGAGGCAGCCTGAGCAGTACCCATGAAGGTGTCTGCAGAGTGGAGGGAGTCCGCACCAGCAGAGCTGGGCTGGTAGAGAACCAGCGACGAGACCTGTCTCTAGTGAAAATGAATGCATCACTTTATCTTAGCCTGATTGCCCTGGGCTCGCCTGTCCTGTTCATGATGGAAAGCTCAACACTATGCATTCAGCCTGCCCTAGAACAGGCAGTCATTAGATTCAATGAATTTGCTCCAACTCTGCTCACAGCCTCCTGATTCTAATTTGGCTCCCTACATAGTTTCTGCCTGCAGGGAGAGAATGACCTAGTCTTGTGGATTTGACAGTCCAAGCCCACAAGCCAGCTACAGCACTTGCTGAAATATACATTCTAGCAGCTGAGCTTGTTTACTCCGAGTCACCTCCCAGAGCAAGGGCCCTGAGTGCATGACTGGATCAGGTTTCTGAGGGCACAGGCTGGCAGTGAGTCTCTGGGCCACGGCAAATTCACCAGGATGGTGACACTGGTGCTGGGGGCAGGTACCAAGCACATTCTATGTGTCCGACACTGCACCATGAGTTTTATAGACTTGAACTCATCTGATTCCAATAACAATCCAATAAACTAAAAATTATCAGAGTTCCCATTTTGTAAATGAGGAGACTGAAGCTCAGAAACCTTTAGTGACTTACCCAAAGACCCACATTAGGAATCTGGATTCAGATCCAGATTTGTGACTCTAAAGCTTAATCTCCTATCTTGTGAAAATAAAATATATAGGGTCACTGGGGTGATGGACCCTACCTTCCCCTGGCCCCAAGCCTCTGCTTCCCAGTGTGCTCTGGGTCACTCCAGTCCAGCTTCAGCAAGGCTGCTCATTGTTCGCGCTGCTGACCAGCCTTCGCATCAAGGCCAATGAAAAGCAGCAGTCAGAAGCACAGAAAGCCAAACCCCGTCTCAGCAAATTACTCCACCACCCATTCTCACCATCTATTCCAGGCCATTGAAGCCAAAAGGGGAGCCTTCTCCTTGACTCTTCCCTCTCCCCCACCCCTGCCAAGCACCACCTACTCACATGCACGCCCTTCAGTACTTCCCCAACAGACCTGCCTCCCCCGTCATCACCACCCGCCTTTCACCTGGACTTCTAGAGACGTCTCCTGCAGCACGTTTTTGCTTCCACTCCTGCTCTCCTGTATTCTCCAGCATTCTTTATGTAATCCAAACATGGCATCCACTGCTTAACAAGCCTTCAGGGGATCCCCACGCTCTTGTCATCCTCTGTGCTGCAGTCCTAAGTGACTGGCCTGCAGTCTTGGGACACACTCAGCCCTGTCTGTTCCAGGATGTCCTGGAGTACACCACACTCCCAGGCTCGCTCGTACACCTCCACACTGCCTCAGCTCTTACAGGAGCTTTGGGACTTATTCGTGGTTCACCTCCTCCAGGAAGCCTGGATTAGGTGCCCATCTGCAGTGCTGTCATCACACTCAGCTCACCCTTCATCTCACTGTATGGGAATTTTGTTTATGGAACTCCACTCCCAGACTCTCACCTCCTGAAGCCAAGGACCCACTCTGTTTATACACAGTGCCTGACATGACAAAATGCATGATGAATGAATGAATGAATAAATGAATAAGGGCCTGCTACATCATTAAGTGTCAGAATCCACCCAGCTTCCACAAGTCCCATCTGTGTGATCTTGAGAAAACTGTTTAACTCCCGAGATTTTTAGGTTCTGTCTGTAAAATAGAGATCATAAAGCATCCACTGTCAAGTTGCTGTGAGATTTAAGCCAAATCATATAATATATGGCAGGTCCTGAGCACAATGCTGGAACATAGTAAGTACTCAAACACTGACTGTTATTGTTATTATTATTACTCTGTCCTTCGAGACCTAATAGAAACATCCTTGAAAGGCCTCACGGGTGTTCCCAGTCCCCCATAACGAGACTGTGCAGGCCTCCTCAGCCGTGGTGTTTTACTTTTCATAATGCATTATCTTCCATTCTTGATTATACTACTCTGAAATGGTCAGATGCTTCTGCATTTTCTTTAAGAGGCCTGATACTTCAACACAGGCTTTTATGTGGAATGATTCCAAGTTTTGCCCCTGATCTTACTGCCCACTGGAGCCTTAAACCATGGACATCCCCTCCCTGGCACATCCTAGTGATGCAGATGCCATACAGCGAGGCAGACATAACCCTGTGAGGCACACACGCAAAGAAACAGGAAGGCTGTGGGACTGGCAGGTGGGGATCCTTAAGATCTCAGGTCTTAAGGGAGTCTGCAGCAAATTCTCAGAAAGAGGATATCCTTTGTCACAACAGATGTAGAAAGGTGAATTATCAATCAAGTGGTTAGAAAAAATTCTAGCATAGTTCCTCTGTGGAATATTCTACAGCCATTAAAAATAAGTAGGGGAACCAACCAATAAAGTAGCAAATAAGAAGACATGAAAGGTCGTGTTATTTAAAAAAAGATACGGATAATATATGCTTTTTGATCACAGTATGGAAAACTTGCTTTAAAAAAATTGAAAGGAGTAGAGCAAACTTTAATAGTTGGAACAGGGTTATGAGTTCGTGGGAAATACTCCTTGATCGATTCCCCACACCTTTGCATTGTTGTCATATTTCTTTAAGATGTAAAAAATAATATTTAAAAAATATTTACTCCACGTGCCTCCCTTGCAAATGACTCCTGGAAGAGATGCAATAGAGCAGATGACACGCCCTAGGCTGAAGGGTGCTCCAAGGGCCCAGGGCGTGCGGAGCAGGGCGCACCGGGGCCTGGGACGCCGGGCAGTGCGACCTGCCCCCTCCCGGTTCTTTCTACACCGGGGGTATCAGCAGCAGGCCTCCGCCCAGCCCCCAGCCGCACTGCCCCTGAGCGGTCCGCCCTGCATAGTCTTTGCTGACAGAGAAGCGCCGCAAGCGGCTGGAAGTCACGCGCCCACTACAGCCCCTGGGACGCGGCCCCCCGCGACCCGGTCCCCGGCCGCCCGGGCCGCCGCCCCGCAACGCGCGTACCTCTTGCAGGGGATCAGCGCCTTCCTCTCGTCCAGCAGCCTCACGCGCTGGTTGAGCCCGTCGTAGGAGAGCAGGGCGCGGCTGTAGCGCCGGCTGCTTTGCCGGTAGAGAACCTGGCGCCCCTCCCACTGCTGCGGCGCCTCGCATGGGCGCAGAGCCCCCGGGGAGCCCCCGGCCGCCGCCGCCCCCAGGCCGCCCAGCGCCCAGACCCAGAGGCCGCCCAGCACACAGGCGCCCAGGGCCCCGCGGGCCACGCGGAGGGGCGCGCGCGCTGCCATCGCGGTCGGTGGCCCGCAGAGCCCCGCCCGAGCCCGCGGGACCGCCGAGCGGCCGGCCCTGTGCGGGAGCGTGGCCTCGGCGGAGCTGCTGCCCGTGCGGCCGCGAGTCCACAGCTGTCGGGATCAGGGCGCGCGAGGTCCGGGAGCCCGACCGGGGCCTGCGAAGGCGCCGGGGAACCGCGCAGGAGCTGTTTCTGCCGGGGCCGCAGCCTGCGGAAGCTTATGTTTTCACTTGCCCTCTGCTGCCAACAGGAAATGCAGTGGCAGCGGGGTGCCACGAGCATCCCAAAGGGCATAAGGCGGGCCCGGGGAGGAAGGATGCTGAGGAGTGTGTTCCTCCACTCACGGAAGTGTTCAGCAGGTAACCACATACTCCGGGACTCCTGCAAGGTCAAGGCAGGGAAAACTGCTGCTACACTTACCTTCCCCTTTGTCATCTTCTTCCGACACATTAAAAATGGAACGAAGGGCCCCTTTCTGAAGAAATGTTAGCAGTCATTCATCACTGCTATTCCCTAGCCCCACTCCCAGGATGGACCAGGCAACAGGCTCTTCCCCTGGTACAGGACTCAGGGACATTGCCTCAACGCCACACTTGCAGTGAGACTGCTCCCCTCATCTGTCACCTGACAACACAAGCTTAAAGGTTTGTGTGTCTGGGAATTTAGCATCTTCAAGAACAACGTGAGTTGGATTTATGGTTTATGTTTGTGTAATATTAGGATCTACAATATAGACTCAAGAAAAGAAGGAGCAACTTTTTTAAAAAAAACACCCTTGCTAAGCTTATAGCTTCTTTTCATTTGATCTGTGATCCAAGGTGAGGAGAATTGAGCCAGGTGAAAGTGGGAGAGAACATTCCTGAAAGGACACAGGGCTAAGGGCAAATGGGTATAGTGCAGGGGTTTGAGTAGGAGGCAGAGAGTAACCCGGAGCCAGATCACTCAGGGCCTTGAAAGCCATTTTAAGGATTTGTTATTAATACTGAGTGTGCTTGGAACCACTGCTGTATTTAAAGCTAGAAGGGGAACCATCAGGAAATCTGCCCCAGGGAGCTGAGCTCACTCCAGTGTCAGTGTGGAGAATAGGAAGGACAAGGCAGAAACTGGGAGAAAAAGGAGGAGGATGCTGTCATGATCCAGATAAGAGATACTGTCTGAAATAAAGTGGTGATGTGGGAATGCAGAGAGTAGAGCAGTGAAGGAAAATATACTGAAGGATTTAGACCCAGACGGAATGGTTTCTGATCTGGGCCACTGGGAGTTCAGTCCTAGTGAAAAAGAAGATGAATTAGTTTAGGACTGGTTGACTTTTAGTTGACTGTAGGATATGCAGATGGAAATACCCAGGGGACAGCTGGATAAACACTTCCAGAAACCAGCAGGGCTCGGGGTGCACATTTGGAAGCCATTCGCATCCAGGTAGTAATTGAAACTGAAGGGCAGAACAGTGGTTCTCTACCTGGGGTGATTTTGTCCCCCGGGGGACAGCTGGCAATATCTGGAGACACTTTCGGTTGTCATAATGGGATGGGGGGGTAAACTACTGGCATCTAGTGGGAGGAGGCCAAGCATGCTAATTAAACTTCCCCCAGGACAGCATCCCACCACACAATAAAGAATAATCTGGCCCCCAAATCATTTGTGCTGGGGTTGAGAAAACCTGGAGCAGTGGCCAGTATAGACAGTGAGTAGAGGACTGAGCATGGAGCCCTAGAGAACTCCAGACATTTAAAGGATGGGATGAGAAGTAGGCCCTTGAGGAGACTGAAAAGGGACCACCAGCAAGAAGCCACTGACCAGGAAAAGTTCCTCACTGACAAGAGCTCTTGGCAAATTGATGTCAAGTGTGGGTAATGGATTAAGTACTAAAGCAGGCCGTGAAGAGGGAGGCCAGTTGACAGAATCTCCTGATTAATCCCTCACCACCACCACCACCACCACTCTGCCACCCCAGTAGAAACACCAGGGACAGAGTACCAATGGACCTACTGGAGGATACAAAGGACTCCTAACTTCTCACCTTTTCTTAAAAGACATGCCATTGAGCACATCAGGGAAGCACCTGAAACGCTGTGACTTGTACTTGCACAGTTAAATGAACGCAGCAGGTACAAACTGGCTGCAGAAGTTTGAGCCCTCTCCAAGTTTGCCTTCTTCAACCATAGGAAAAGAATACAGAGCTCTGTTGTTTCTCAAAACTGTATTTTCTTCACTTGCAGAAACTGGGGCTTAAAATCTTGATCACTAAGCCAGGAAGTTGGGCTCATTGGATTTTACTTTTGGAAATGGCTGAAGGTATCATCTCTTTCGCTTGCTTTCACTAGCCTGGTTTGGTATCTCTGCTGCTTGATACGCATTCTATAGAAAACTGGAAAAGTTCTCTAGATTGACCTGGCTGTATTTAGATGCACTGGGCTTCCTCTAAATAGAACCAGATTCTTTGGACAAGTCCTGAAATGTATTTATCTCCTTTGTCCTTTTAATTTACAATGTTTAATTCATGTTTCCTAGGAAAAAAAAATAAGATAGTGCATTTAAAGTACTTAGCACCACCCCCCAGAACACTGTAAATGCTCAGTGAATGTCAGCTGTGTTTTTTCTTCCTTGGGCCATTTTAATCCTTAAGTCTTGATCCAAGTCAAAACTAACCTTCTGGGTCTAAGCTTGGGAGAGAAAAAAACCTATCTACCTTCTGTTCAGATTCCCAACTAAATATATTTTTAAAGATTAACATTCAGAGAACATGTTTTCATATTCTACTGCCCTAAGAAAATATCATATACCAGAAATCATACTGCCTAAAGATAAATGTACACATAGAACAATAAACACTCCCTTTTCTGTGGGTAGCTGAGTCAGCAGCTGGTTTTATTACCTCCTCCTAATAAAAATAAGATAAAAGAGAAGACAAAACATACGTAGTTGCTTTCCCTGCTACACAGCTCAATTTAGTTTCCAAGCACATCTAAAATGAAGATTTTAGGCTGCTGGGTTGGAAATCAGTTGGCATGAAGGGTAAAAAAAATCATTCCTATTGTGGTGAACAAAGTTTTCTTCATTTTCTCCTGGGTTCCATTCATGTTGGAGAGGACAGTGAGGAGTTAGAAGGAGGATGAGGAATGTTGGTAAACGGCAGACCCTTCTCAAATTAGAATATGCTGTATTGTACCTTCAGACAGGTCTATTCCAGGATCAGGTGCAGAGCAAATGCCATTCTGGACAAACCTGAGCCCAAACGAATGTCTACTAGCCAAAACAACAGCCAAAACAAACTCCACACAACTTGGTCCCGGGTGCGGGTGGTTTATTTACATAACGTGTCCGTCGTGTTCCAACATCTACTGCACTCTCCCGCGCCCCCCTCAATAGTCTGACTACCTGGCGCTTCTTGTGCCCCCTAGCGGACAGAGCAAGTATGTTTCAGAATGAAAGGACAGCAGAGGTTCCCATTTCCCTGTAACTCTCTGCTTGGGGAATCTGTGGGGCAAAAGGTGCAAAGTTCAGCTTGACTCAAATAGCGTCTTTCTCTCTCTCAAGAAATCCACTCCTGCACCCTCTTGGATCCGGTGTCCAAAACGACTGCCAGAGGCTCTTTTTCTTGGTCTGAAGAAAAAGGACTGGCCAGACTAAAAAGGAGGGACTTTGGGGAAATGCAGGATTCCAGCCCTGGGCTGCGGCCCGGAGGAGATGATGTCACCGATTCGGCAAAGAGGGGGCTGGGGGTGGGGCGGCGGCCAAGGGGGAGCCCGCGCCGCGCCCGCAGCTGCCAAGGGAGCCGTTCCGAGCCCACGTCAGGGGAGCTGTCGGGATAAATAGGATCCCGCAATGGCCGGGGCTGGCTGCGCTCGGAGCTGCCGCGTCCCGGACTGGAGCTGCCCGGGCGAGGTCGCGCCCCGGAGGCAGAGGGCTGGCGCTACTCGTGCTCCGAGCGCCGGACGGCGGATATCCCCGGCCCGCCCCCGCGGCCCCGCACTGCTGCCCACGGGGGTTTGCAGAGAGAACCTCTCCTGCGCCCTAAAGGACTTCCTCCTCGAAGGGAGAGCGGAAGACGAGGGGGTCAGGAAGACAAGGGCCCTTTCTGCCTGTCGGGGTGGCGGCGCGGGAGGGCAGGGCCATGCTCCTCTCGGTCCTGGCGGCGCTGTGCCTGTGGCTGCGCCTGGCGCTGGGCGTGCGCGGCGCGCCCTGCGAGGCGGTGCGCATCCCCATGTGCCGGCACATGCCCTGGAACATCACGCGGATGCCCAACCACCTGCACCACAGCACGCAGGAGAACGCCATCCTGGCCATCGAGCAGTACGAGGAGCTGGTGGACGTGAACTGCAGCGCCGTGCTGCGCTTCTTCCTCTGCGCCATGTACGCGCCCATCTGCACCCTGGAGTTCCTGCACGACCCCATCAAGCCGTGCAAGTCCGTGTGCCAGCGCGCGCGCGACGACTGCGAGCCCCTCATGAAGATGTACAATCACAGCTGGCCCGAGAGCCTGGCCTGCGACGAGCTGCCCGTCTATGACCGCGGCGTGTGCATCTCGCCAGAGGCCATCGTCACCGACCTCCCGGAGGGTGAGGCCGAGGGCAAGGACCGAGGGGCTGGGAGGCACCGTTGGCTGTCGCTGCCACTTGGGAACAGGGAGGCCACACCTACAGAGGCCGGAGGGTGGTGGGTCAGCACCCCAGACCGCTTCCGAGGGTCAGAGGGGACGGGGAGGGCTGGTGACTTTACTTCTGGAGAAGTGTGGTTTTGCTACAGTAATTTCGGGAGCTGAAGAACACCGCATCGCATAAAGAGGGTCGGGGGTGAGGGAGATTTTGTTTACAAAAGGAGCTACTGGGGACGTTTCCATTGAAAGTAACATAATAACAATACCAGCAGCTGCAAACGTGGATACGGAGCTTAAGATGTGTCTGAGCCAGTTTTAAGCACTTTACAGGTATCACTAAATCTCTAAAACAAGCAATAAAGAAAAAAAACCCACCAGGATTCTCCATTTAGTGTTAGCTCTTGAAAGCACTTTCAGAATCAGCAGTGCGGGTCAGCACTCCCACTAGGAATTGTAAATACAGTCGCCCTGGAAAATTGTGTCTGTTTCATGGTCGTTGACTTGGTTAAGTGGACATCACTTTGGTCATTTTGCTGCTTTAATAGGAGCAGGTTGAAATCCACTTCTTGAAATGAAACCCATAAGAATAGTTTTGTAGTCTTTTCTCCCAGACCCAGGTTACTGCACAGAGATGACGATGTTGCTTTACTGTAGTTTCTTGAATTACACCTCAGAGTATTGCCCAAAACATAAAGAAGGAGAAGGGAAGGGAAAAATCAAAACTCCCCTCCAGAATTTTAGAAAAAAAAACATATTTATTGCTTAAGTTACATAAATGATTAGAGGGTTATGCTTTACTGGGGTTATGTAGCTGTGCAGTGTTTCTGCAATGCAAAATGTTAGTTGAGAATTTGGAAATATTCTGGCAATCTTGATTAATGTAAACTGTCATCTTAAAACAAATCATTTTAAAATGGATTTGGGAAGGAGGTGGGCTGTATGGGTCAGCCAAGTTAAATGTATGTGCGTTCACATCTTATGTGATGGACAGGCAAAATCTCACCCACCAGTCTTCTTTCCTAAGCCCAGGGATGTGTGTATGAGAGAAGCTGCCATTCACATACCCTTTTTATTATTTAATATTACCCTTTTGTGATGCTGTGTTAGTTTATGTATTCAGATGGTGCCTTATTCAGCTGGCTGAACAGACTCACTGACCACACCCATGTGGCTCTGTGTGTGTTTCAGACGTTAAGTGGATAGACATCACACCAGACATGATGGTGCAGGAAAGGCCTCTGGACGTTGACTGTAAAAGCCTAAGCCCTGGTGAGTTCTTTTTTCCAAGACTTCTCTCTGTTTCCTCTCCAGAGTGATTTCCTAACCCTTTTCCAATTTTGTCTTTCCTTGTCTTCTTTAGACCGGTGCAAGTGCAAAAAGGTGAAGCCAACCCTGGCGACATATCTGAGCAAAAACTACAGCTATGGTAAGTCACCTGAGGAACTCCTTCACCTTGGGATTTGGTCCACTGTGAAACCAGGTCTGCTGATCTCAGAGTAAGGAAGAGTGTTGGTGGTATTTCTAGTTAATTATGTGGGTTCGGGATGGCACAGGAACAACCGTAAAATTTCTTGCTCTTTTAGGTAAATAAAGTAAAGACAAAGTAAATTACCCATGTGAGAACAGTAATGTGGATCAGATTACAAGTTTGACATTGTGCCTGACAGGTGCCACTCAGCCAGGACAGCTCACCTAACTTGATCTCCTCCTAAAGTTTCATTGTGGCAGGAAGGATGGGTGGCTGATCCATGGGTTTGATTATCTGAGGTCCAGAGGCTCAGGAATTAAGACCTGCCCATGTTTCTTTTTACTTATAAATACCTGTAGATATTTAACATCTTAAAGAAATTGTGGGGAAATATATTAATCATGAGACCCTTTGCCTACAAGTATTGACCTCTCCTCCCTTACTTGAGAGAACTAGTCAGCACCTTCTTCAAAGAATCATGCTATTTTGGATGTTTTAAGTAAATGTAATTCTACTATCATTATTTGAAGGTAAACTTAATTAAAAATATGTTCTCAAAATATCTATTTGGGTTATTTTATTTTGGGGAAAATGTTCACTTTATTTGCTTGGTTTTCCGTATTTCAAACTGAAATTTTACATCATAAGAAACTGTATTATATCACACAGGAAAGTAGGAAGCTCATGGCAATATAAAAATCTGAAATTATAACCTCTTATTTTAGTTGTTAGATTTGAGATAATACACAGCTAATGTGGGTAATTTAACAACAAAAAAGTGTGATCTTTTCTAGTAGCTTTTGTTGTTTTAAGCCGGTTATTTGTAGATACTGTCTTAATCTAATCTACTTTGTCCCTCATCTGACACTATCCAGCTTTAGTTACTAACCTGAGTTTCACTGTCATGTTGTCCTCTGGGGCCTCATTACCTCACAACTACTTGGATGATGAAACCATTTTCTATTTAAGTCCTTTGGCTCCTTCATCAACCAGCTTCCTAGGAGGGAATCCAGGACAGACCCATACTAGGCTGATCACAGTTCCACAGGAAGCAGTAACAGCAGGGGACCAATCGAGCCAGAATTGAAAGTGTGATCAGACATAGTGACTTAAGAGCCATCTGTAGTAACAGTTCTACTTCGGCTCACCCCAAACCTCTCTCTGACTACCTGTGAAATTAAAGGATTGAGGACAGTGATCTTCAGAGACTCCTTCCAGTTGGAAAAAGTTAGGACTATAATAACTTCCTGCGGAACAGAGGAAGTTCTAGCATCAGACGGGTATTTGAACCATACAAACTTTAAGGTGGCTTCTGAATCTGAAAATATAGGATTCTCACTTCAAATAATAACAAGGCAGAGTATAAACAAATATTTGTTTCTAGGAAATTTTTATTGATACTCTAGGTAACTAAATTTCCTCATAGGTATTTGGTGGAAAAAACCCCCACCAATTTTAGAATTTTAGGGCTGTGAATAATCTGTGGGTTGCTGTGTTCAAGTCCTATCTGCAGCCCAATGAGGAGCAGTCCCTGACCTAAAGGCAGAAGCCAGACTAAGCCTGCTTGGCAGCTTGCGTTTTACAGATTGTAGCATTATGAGAACTGTTAAGACAATGTTGACAATATGGGAGGCCTTACATTCAGCTTATGATTGTGTGGGCTTTTTGCCTGCATTTGGGCAGCGTGGACATGACCATAATTACAGGAGTGATTCTTATAGAGAGGCTCAGGAGTTGGCATGAACACCTCATCCCTATTCTTCTCCAAAAGCTTCATCAACACTTACATCAGTTTTTAAATCGCAGTCATTCATGCTAAAATTAAAGCTGTGCAGAGGAGCGGCTGTAATGAAGTGACGACAGTAGTGGATGTGAAAGAGATCTTCAAGTCCTTGTCACCCATCCCTCGCACTCAAGTCCCTCTCATTACAAATTCTTCCTGCCAGTGTCCTCACATCCTACCCCATCAAGACGTTCTCATCATGTGTTACGAGTGGCGCTCAAGGTAGGCACAAAGGGGCAGAAGAAATGGCACACTGCTTATGAAAACATGAATCTCATTTGGAAGTCATGGCTTAAAAAAACAACAGCAAAAAAGAGCACCAGAAGTTTTTTTTTAATTGAAGTATATTTGATACACAATTTTATATTGGTTTCAAGTAGACAACACTGTGGTTCGACAGTTACCCATAGTATTAAATCCTTATTCTCACTAGTATAAGCAGTTGTAATGGGCCTTGTTGGAATATCATAAATCCTAAATACCAATTAAAAATAGAAGTGTGAGTATTTAATTGGAATCTTTGCAGATCGATTTCAGAATTCATTAAGAATTCATAGATTTCAGAAACATAGGGAGATAAATTACTGAGTTAAAATAATTCTTTTCAAATCGATCTGAGAGTGGCAAACACTGAATTCTTTAAAAGTTCTCTTTAATAATATACAGATCAAGTAAAGCTGGCCATTTGAGACTAGAGTTCCACATGTGTTCCTTATATACACCATTAGCTTACAATTTGTCTGATAGATCATTACATACAGACCCACCACATTCACACACATATATACACATATCTCCAGCTGTGAGTGTATTTCCCCTTATCGCCTTCTTGGCATCTTTGTATATATTGGTACGTTCCTTCTAATATGAAAAATCAAACGCTTCAGAGCAGGTTACAGGATGGGTCCCCTGACTTGCTGCGATACACTTTAACATGCTTACTCATTTTCATAGAACAAGTCTTCTCTGTGGCTCTCTGCCATTGAGGCTCATCTGTTTCCCGGGGATATAGCCCAGGACTATTTCCCAAACAGCTTCGGAAACAGATCTCACTCAGATACCTTATTGGTCTGTACTCTAGAGGCGCTAGGCACCCCCCTCACACTGCATATTCCATGTGCCCTTGGCTTTCAATCTATTTCTGTCGTCTTTCCAAAGAGGCTGAATGTACATGTTGAGTGAATGTAGATAGTACACTTTATACTGTACTATAAAATGAATTTCAAATGGATTGAAGAGATATTGAAAAAACTTAATCAAAGAGGATAAAATTAGATGAATAGATATGATATCTGAATGGCAAACATAAAAATAATATAAGAAATCACAGGGAAAATGTCAATGCACATATTTGATGACATAATACCATGTACACAAAAATCATAAATAATGAGAAAAACATAAAAATTTAGGAAAATACTTGCAACAGGTATGACAAAGGAGTAGTAATCATACTTTATAAAGAATTTATATAACAATATCTAATACATTAAGACAATAATATAGAAATGTGCATGTATAAATCTATACAGACAAGTTCCAGAAGAAAATATACAAATAGTAAATAAACACTTAAGAAATTTATCTCTGATTCTCCAAACAAAAATGAGATTTGAATGAAAGTGTAACAATTTTGTAAACAATTTGACACTGTGCATTGAAAACCTTAAAGAAAAACACATACTCTTTCACTTCCAGAAATTCAACTTTCAGATATCTGTCCTAAGAATATAATAAGCCAGTGCACACTAGGATAGTAAATATATAAGGATATTCAACACTGGTAATAGTAGCTAACTGAAAGAGGGTGGGTCAACAGTAGAGAAATGGTTAAATATATTATGGATATCCATAGTTGTAATTTATGATAATTAAAGTTATATTTTTTAATTATTCCAAATATATGAGAAAATACATATAATACAATGTTAAAAGGAAATGGACAGTATGATCTAAATATACTGTGTGATATAAAAATATACAGGTACAAAGCAGAAAGGAAATACTGATTAAAATATAAATGATGGGTTGTGGGTTCAAGAGCAATTGAAGAATTTTTATTTTTATAATATTTTGTGTTTTTTAACATTTTACTTTCATAATCAGAAGTTGCTTATTAAGATACATTACTTTTTTTCAGAATGATGCTTCTTGAAAATTGTTTAGTTGAAAAATGGAGAGATCAACTTAGTAAAAGATCCATAGTAAGTATAATTAGCAATACAGTGAGTATAGATGGAAGTGCATGTAAGGACATTCTGCAAGGTTTGTCTTTTGAATAAATAGTTAAGAATCTAGCTATTGTCACTTGGCATTTTTATCATAAATCTCCCTTCAACTTCAAAGGTGATTTGGTTACATTCACTACTGATCTAATGGTTATTTCCAGATTAGTTTTTTGTTTGTTGTATTATATTCAATTGTTTCAGACAATAGTCAGATACTGGAGCCAAATTAGTATCCAGTGGGATTAAAACAGAGATAGGATGTGAATACCTAGTTCTAAAACTCACACTATCTCTGTGCAAAGCAGAATCTTTCCCTGTATTCCAAATAACTTAAGACTTCTGTCAAAATAAATCAAATACAAAGGTAATTATTTCATGACCAGTCCATGATTTTAGTGATAACATCACAGAAATATTGATAATTCAGTTAGGAGAGTTAGCATAATTTTTTTCCCAGAAATGTGAAATCATACTAGAATCAAAGAAAGTGGATCATTAGTTTCAAATTTTTAAGCAGACATAGTATAATATGATCAAGAATGCGTTTTGATACATTCCAGAGAATTTGTGTTTCCAGGTTCACAAAATGTACCACTTCAGCCCATGCTTAGTTTGCATGAACAAAAATACTTGGGCAAGGGGAGAGTTATATCCATCCTACCCTGGGAGAGGGTAGTTTCTACTCAGTGCTTTTATGAATAACGGAACCAAACACTACTGTTGGATCTGGTTAAAACCTCATGAGCTGCTCAGGGGCACACTGAGTCTTATTGGACAGAAAATTCTAGCAAGATTGGTTACCTGTTTTCCAACACTACGGATTAGTAGATTAGAAGCATCATGTAGAAGGCAAGTGTACCTTAAGAACCCTGAGAGTAAAGAACATTTTCAAGAATCATACCCATTCAGACCATTCACTTCTGCAGCAAATATTCCAATGCACTTCAGTACGAATCTGAAAACATCACCATATAACAGCAACGTAGAGGGATGAGTTTATCCCTTTAGAACAGACTAGAATTGTGCCCTACGAGGGTGGGGACAGTGTTTTCATTTCTTTGTATTTCTAGTGCCTAGAAATGCCTGGCCTATACTCGTGCTCACGCTCTGCTATATGAAATACACTCTTAACAAAGGACGTGTGTATTATGATAAAAAGCAGTATCTGTGCAAGTGGACTCAATTTTTATTTTTCTCTTACATGCAGCTATTTAGACAACTAGCATTTCTTTATATGATAAAAAGTCAGTCCTTTTCTGTCAGGGAACCAAGTACCCAAAATGACTCATTTCTCAGCATTTTCTGTGCAGCTAACACTTGAGTAGATTGCTAGCTGTGGATGGGGCTTCTGTCCTTTGGATGTGAGAGAATTAGGTGAACCCAAAAGTGTGGTAAGAGCCCCCTGACTTCCTAGTGAGGCTGGATAATTTCTTCTTGTCAGCCATGTGAAAGCCTTTTTAGAAGGCTCTGCTGTGTAGGCATGCTGCATTATAGGGCCTGGAGTCAAAAGCGCATGGGAGAGGACCTTGGGCTCTGGAGTCAGACGGGTGAATTTGAATCCCAGCTCTGACATTCATGTGAGACCTTCTTCTGCAAATAACCTCTGTGTGCTTGTTCCCTAGTCCTAATCATGGTGTGCCCCTAGAGGGGCTGTTGTGGGTTTCACTGAAATGAGTTCACATAAAAAATACATCAGCTCTTGGCACTTTCCAATTCACCGGATACAGTATAAATGCTCAACAATGTGGGGCAGCTGCTTTACTTGTGGTCATGATTAATGTCCTACAGTAAAAAAAAAAAAAAGCCTTAATTCTGATATGAGTTCCACAGCATAAAGGGGTGAGATGTATCTGACAGTCATGTTTACAAACTGCCTCCCAGCAGTGGGAAGAGAGGCTGCAGGAACAGCAAAGGACAGTCCAGGACAAGAAGCAACCAGCCGGGCGTACCAGTCGCAGTAATCCCCCAAAACCCAAGGGGAAGCCGCCTGCCCCCAAACCAGCCAGCCCCAAGAAGACCATCAAAGCCAGGAGCACCCAAAAGAGAACAAACCCCAAAAGGGTGTGAGCTGACTGCTTCCCAGGATGGAGACTTACTCTGAGGGAGGGCTGGGCATGGGCCAGCCAGCCTGTGGAAGGCCGCACACCGCTTGTCTTAACAATGCAATACTCATCACAGACACATCTTGCAGCATTTTTCTAAATGATATGCTTCAATTTTTCTCTTTAAGCCACTGCAAGCCACAGTGGTAGGTATGTCCTTTGGCATGGAAGGCATCTGAAAGCTGGTGGAAAGGGCTTGCTGTGTGCATCCTTTGTGGGCTCGCCATGTGGGGAAAAAATGCTTTTGTTCTTACAGTTTGACCCAATATGTGCATTGTGAAATAAATGCCATATTATAAACAAAACACCTAATTATTTTTTATAATGTTTTATTTCCGTTTGACTTCCATTGTTAGAATGCTAGTGGTATTTTAAAATATGATTGAAAATATAATGCTTCTAAGGAGGAAAGAAAGCAAAAGGAATGAATGCTTAAAAGGTCTTTGTGTGATTACTGTTAGAAGAATTTTTGTGATGAAATGGAACTTTTGAACTAGAAAAGTGGGATTTTGGATCTAGAAAAGTGGGATATGGAAAATTGTAAAGTTTTTTTTTTTAACTAAAAAGGCTTTCTGCTCTGTTTTTAGCTAGAAACTCTAAACACAGGGATAATAATAATGATAAACAAACAAAGATAAAGGCAGGCAGACCATGTCTGGATCCTTGTAATCTGGTTGTCATGCCGTGGAGGGGAGGCTCTGGTACGTTCATGACGCTCATCACTACCCTTTAAGGAATACCAGAGGCAAAGTTTGTTTCTCCTATTATGTTTTCTATACCAATTAATCAACTTCCAAGTACTGTGTACCTCTGGATTTGGTGCTCAGCTCACTTCTCAGGACATCGTAGGTATCCTGATGCCAAGACTGAGAAAATATTCTCTCTGCTGATTGCTGGTGCTTACAAGGGTGTGGGGGGCCCCAGGTGGGAGGACTGGGACTCCAAGACCCTGGGGCTCAGCCTCTGTGGTGGCCCCACTGCTTCACATCAGCTCTGCACTTGGAAAAGGTGACTACAGTGACTTGTCCACCACTGTTCAGGGATGGAGAGGAACAACTTGAAAGCTGTAAATTCTCCTTTAGATTTACCATGGGCCCTGCTTCTCAGAGAAGGGCTAGTTACATGTTGCATGCACACAAGATAATTAGACGATTTAAGTTGACCTCTGTAGCCACTGAGACACAAGTGAGGTGTGTGGGCAAGCCAGGGGAGACTGGAGAAACAGGGCCAATGAGAATGCTGACATGGGCCACTGCTCCTCCTGGAAGCATAACTTGGCCTGCATCCCTACCCTGAGGGCAGCAGAAGTAAAAGAATCCAAAAGATCAACCCACATAAGGTTATCAATGAACTACCAGTGTGTATTTCTGCTGTGAAGAGGCCAAAACTCTTTGGCCCTTAAGGAAAGCCAGATACATGTTTAGCATAGCATCCAAACTGAAAAAACCTAGGAAAGGCCATTTAAAGGCATCTGTAGGCTAGCTTACCTCCCTAGTATAGTAGGAATTCTTTAGGGGAAGGGAGTTATAAATGGAACTCTCCAGGGAAATGGAGAAAAAACTCATATATAAAAAAGGAAACTTCTTAAAGTGCAAAGCTGAATGTTTGGAGTTTAGAGATGACTTTACATATTTAAACACTTTAAGTACTTACCTGAAATCAGATACTGAATATTACACAAAAAGTAATTAGCACATTTATCAGTTTGATTACTGGATAAAAGATTAAGCCATTGTTTGGTAATTTATTATGAAAAGATGATGTGGGGAAAGTTGGGGTTTCTATGGCTAGGATCCTCACTGAACCTAAACCACTTGATGTTGTAACTGGCCTGTTCCTAGGCTACTGCCTCCAAACTCGTAGGCAATAAGCACTATAAAAAGAGTTCAGTCCAGTGCCTTGGGCACAGGCAGAGAAGCTAGTGCTCAACCTACCGCCGGGAGAACAAGCTGGGTAATAAACCCTTTCGCCCCAAGAACGTTCTACTGTCATTTCTTTGGTCACATTGAATCCATAAGGAACTTGCCCGGGGCTGAAACTCACTGGCAAGACAGATGAAAATGAACATCAGCCCACACTGAGAATAATATAACATGTATTGAAGTGACCTTTGTGTGAGAACTAAGAATTTATTTTTCTCCCTTAAATATTTTCTCCACCTAAATACATGTGAGAGGAGGTAAAGATAAATATCTGGGGAGGAAAGCTGAAGTTGGAATAAATTGAGAGCTGGGTTACTTTAATGAGAAAAAGTAACTTATTTTGCAATATTTTTATCAACAAATTTCATACTTGAAAACAACTGGAGGCATTTTTTAATTTTGTTGGTTTTTCAACAACACAATAAACATGTGTTTTCTATAAAGCATTCAATAAATGCATAAAATAAAAAATAATGACATTAAAACCCTGCCTAATCCCACTCACCACTATGTGGAGGTAACCACTGTTAGTATTTTGGTATATGATTTTCCAGGTGTTGCCTATATATCTATAATGATTAGAAAAAAATTAAACTAGGAGCCTATTTACACACTGTTCCATAACCTGCCTTCTTCATTTGGCCTTTTATTGAGATTACTTCTCATGTCAATAAAGCTGATGCCACTTCATTTCTAATGACTGTGTTGTATCCCATGGTATGCATTACTCAAGAAAACCTTATGTTATTAGGGATTTGTGTTGTTTTTCAGCCAGACATAGTGAATAACTGGATAAATACCTATAGCTAATATCTGCACATCCTTAATTAGTTCTTTGGGATTAGTTAGTTTAAGTGGAATTGCAGGGCCGAGAACCGAGGAAAGTTCTCGTCCATACTTTTAGTTACCTTCTGGAATGCTTGGACTACAGATGTAGAAAGTGCTGACTTTCCAACTTCTCACTAAGTTTGTTTCCCTCTTCCCCTATTTTTAAAATAAATATTAGCTGGAAACTGGATGTTACCTGGGGCAAAGCTCCTCTCTTCATCTGTAAGCCATCATTGACAACATTCTCAATAGTCCCTGCAGATGGGGAATGAATGATGAAGCAACTCAAAGGGGGCACAGTCAACAGATTAGATAGATAGGTAGATAGATAATAGATAGAGATGATATAGCTAGGTAGATGAATAGATGACAGATAGATAGATGATAGATAGATAGATAGATAGATAGATAGATAGATAGATAGATAGATAGATAGATAATAGATGACAGATAGATAGATAGATAGATAGATAGATAGATAGATAGATAGATAGATAGATATAAATTTCTTCTGGGGAATGCCTATGCAACCTCCTTAATTTTTTTAATGAACCTAATTTAAACACACCACCAATCAGCTAGAGAAGCCAAAGAATTAGGATGCAGAGGAAATGCCAATAGATTCTCTCTCAGCCCAGCCTTCTTTTAAGATACATGAGAACTTAGATAAACAGCCTTAATCTCTTACTTCCAAGTTCTACATCAACGCAGTCAGACCACACCTTTGATTTCTGTTCTTGGATGCTTATACAAATGTCTATTGCAAACTTAAAATAAAAATCCTTTACTTGTCCTAGCTCAAGGGTGCTCCTGCTTGGAAAAAACCAGTACCTGAATAAAAGAAAAGGGCACACTTTTACCACAAATTCCTGCCTGCTGTTAATACCAATTCTAAAAGCAAAAGTAGTTCTTTAGAATCATGGAGTGAAAAAGTTGAATGGGACCTTAGAAGCCTTCATCCAGCTGCTGGAGAAAGGCTACCCTGCCTCAGGCACTGTCTGATGCCTCATGTGTAGTTAGAGAAACACCTGGATCCCCAGAGTCACTCAATTTTAATTTAACTGATCGAACTGCACTGGCTTGTCAGTGATATAAAATCAGGCTATGAGAGGGAATAGTCATTTATCCACATGGCGAATACAGGAGACGGGGGGAAGGGGAAAGGATTTATGTGGTTGTAAGGTTACTACATTTCACTGGAAGTGGTGAAATATTAACTCAAATAGTTTTAAAGTTGTGTAGATATATTGTAATCTATAAAGCAACCACTAAAAGGACTATATAAAATATGTATAGTTAAGAAGCCAATAGATGAATTTAAGTGGAACATTAAAATAGCATTTAAATTCCAAAAGATGACAGGAAAGAGAAAACAGATTAGACAATTCCAAAACTTATCAAAGTGACATTTAATGTAAATGGTATAAACAGGGACAAAGATTGTCAGAATAGATATTTAAAAGAATGGCTATATTCTGTGCTCATTGGAAGAGAGGGTTTTTAAGAGATAATGGAAATTACTCTGACAAGCTAAATGCAAACTGGAGAGAGGAGGACGGTAGGTAGCAGTCCTGAGGAGTTGAAATCAATGAAAAGGAATCATGCTTTCCACCTCTTTTTCTTCTATTACGAATGAGAGAACTGTGGGTCTGATTTCAAAATTACCCACAAAGCTTTGGCCTGATGATTTGCCTGAGATGACAGAGTTGCTTGGATCTGAGGCTAGGAGGGAGGAAGGGAGGAAAAAAGAAGTGAAGCACAAAAGATCTGTAGGGTGGTATGATACTGTAAAGGGAACAAGTGACATTATGCACTTGTCAAAACCCATAGAATGTACAGAACAAAGAGTAAAACAATGTAAACTATGAGCTTTAGATCCTAACAGTATATCAATATTGGCTCATTAATTGTGAAAATATAATGACTCAGTCAATAATAGCTTATTGCCTACAGGTGAGGAAGCGGTAGTCTAGCAGTTACATCATCAAGCAGTTTAGGGTCAGGTGAGGATCCTGGCCATAGGAACTTCCATTTTCCCCACAGTGGTGTAGGGCAGAGAGGTTATCTCCAGGGTCTTTCTCAGAAACATCCCTTATATATCATAGGCCTATCTGGGCCACATTGCTGTACTATCCAAGGAAGGATGGAGAAATGTGAGTATTACCTTTTTTTAGGCTTCTACATGGAAAGCAGGCAAGAGAGGAGGCTGAGAAATACTTCTGGGTACCTAATGAAGTGGGAGAGAAAAATTAAGGGCTATTGAACATCAAAATTATTTATAAATCCTTGCATACTTGTGTTGGGTGGCTATTGCAGTTACTATCTGTCCCATATACATGCATGTGCAAACCCTTGAAGAAAATGTTTCCTAATACGATAGCTCTGTGTGTGTGTGTATGTGTATGATTCTTATGTGATGAAGAATTAGAAATAGCATCATAGTTTGATATGTTAAGAGTATTGTTCGCTTTAAACTAAAATCTAATAAGCCATTTTTGCACTTTTAAATTTCATATGAGTATGAAATACATTATATGCCCTCATGATAATATATT